GGTAAAGGCTGATCTCTATGGTTTACCCCTAGTTGGACCTGATGTCATGCTAGGAGTCCAATGGCTCGAAGGATTAGGCAAGGTGACCACGGACTACCGAATTGGAGTTACGGAGTTCAAATCTAGAGGTCGGCAAGTCACCCTGAGACCGGCACTGAGAAAGGAACTAAAGAAGTTGGGTTGAAGAGTATCGAAAGAGTTTGGTGAAGTGGCGGTCAAATATTTGCGGTAGTAGTCGAAAGTAGGGAGCCGCACACAGAAGAGGCCGGACAACAGCAAACCGATGTGCGCGAGCTTCTTGAGGAATTTGAAGGAGTGCTAGGCAAACCCAAGGGCCTACCACCTCACCGGGAGTTCGACCACCGCATACCCCTGATTAATGAGCAGCACGCAGGACACGTCCATCCCTATAGGTACGCTCACTTCCAGAAAACTGAGATTGAGAGGCAAGTAGCTGAGATAATTGAATCAGGGTTAATTCAGCATAGCAGGAGTCCGTTTTCTTCACCAGTACTGTTAGCTAAAAAGAAAGATGGCACGTGGAGGTTTTTTACTGACTACCGAGCTCTGAATGCCGCGACTATCAAGGATCGATTTCCTATTCCTAGTGTCAACGACATGCTCGATGAGTTAGCTGGATCACGTTACTTCTCAAAGCTCGATCTGAGAGCTGGTTATCATCAGATTCGACTCCACAAAGCCGACATACCGAAGATAGCTTTTCGTACGCATCAGGGACACTATGAGTATTCGATGATGCCATTCGGGCTATGCAACGCCCCATCCACTTTTCAGTTCACTATGAATTCCATCTTCAAGGAGCATCTACGGAAGTTTGTTCTAGTCTTCTTTGATGACATACTGGTATATTCGAAGTCATGGGGTGAACATCTGGAGCATTTGAGAGTGGTGCTTGACGTATTAGAGGCTAACTCATTTCACATCAAGCCGTCCAAGTGTTCATTCGGACAAGAGATGGTCGGGTACTTAGGCCACTTTATATCTCATAATGGCGTGACGGTTGATCCAAGAAAGATAGAGGCGATGGTCGACTGGCCCAAGCCAACGAGTCTCACGCAACTGAGAGGGTTCCTAGGGCTCATGGGCTATTACCAGATGTTTTTGAAGGATTATGGAACCATTGCCAAGCCACTTACAGAGATGACCAAGAAAGAAGGGTTCACATGGACCACGGCTAGCAGGAGGCATTTGAGAAATTGAAAGGCGCCATGACTGTTGGGACATATGAGGATCTCGATATGCACAAATCACGGACAAACATTCAACATAAACCTATGCGCAGCGGATCTAAAGGTTTGATGAAGAAAACTTACTGCTTAAAATTTATGTAGATCTGGCTGGCCCGGAAAGTTGACCGCAAATCAAATCTTCTCAGAATCGAACAAACATGACCAATCTAGAAAGCTGACGTCACGGCGAAGTCAACGGCGTTGACCGGTCGGAAAACTGAGCTCTCACGCGCTCTCACGCGCGTCTGCAAGATCCAGCCGCTGCTCCTTTCCGGCGGCGCGTGGAGGCGCGTGCGGCG